AGAGAGAACGACCAATCAGAGAGAACTACTGACACAGAGAGAGAGAACGACCAATCAGAGAGAACTACTGACACAGACAGAGAGAACGACCAATCAGAGAGAACTACTGACACAGAGAGAGAAAACGACCAATCAGAGAGAAATACTGACACAGACAGAGAACGACCACTCAGAGAGAAATACTGACACAGAGAGAGAAAACGACCAATCAGAGAGAACTTCTGACACAGAGAGAGAAAACAACCAATCAGAGAGAACTACTGACACAGACAGAGAGAACGACCAATCAGAGAGAACTACTGACACAGAGAGAGAAAACGACCAATCAGAGAGAACTATTGACACAGACAGAGAGAACGACCAATCAGAGTGAACTACTGACATAGAGAGAGAAAACGACCAATCAGAGAGAACTACTGACACAGACAGAGAACGACCACTCAGAGAGAAATACTGACACAGAGAGAGAAAACGACCAATCAGAGAGAACTATTGACACAGACAGAGAGAACGACCAATCAGAGTGAACTACTGACATAGAGAGAGAAAACGACCAATCAGAGAGAACTACTGACACAGACAGAGAGAACGACCAATCAGAGAGAAATACTGACACAGACAGAGAACGACCACTCAGAGAGAAATACTGACACAGAGAGAACGACCAATCAGAGAGAACTACTGACACAGAGAGAGAAAACGACCAATCAGAGAGAAATACTGACACAGACAGAGAACGACCACTCAGAGAGAAATACTGACACAGACAGAGAACGACCAATCAGAGAGAACTACTGACACAGAGAGAGAAAACGACCAATCAGAGAGAAATACTGACACAGACAGAGAACGACCACTCAGAGAGAAATACTGACACAGACAGAGAACGACCAATCAGAGAGAACTACTGACACAGAGAGAGAAAACGACCAATCAGGGAGAACTACTGACACTAGGGTTGGGTATTGCAAGAAATTTTCCGGTTCCAGTTTTGCCTAACGATTCCCGGTTCTGATTCTGGTTCCATTTAAATGAACTATTATTATTTTTTCTTCACTATTTTACCTTCATTGAATGCAGTGTTGCTGTAAGGTAGTAAGTAATGCTGAGTAATGCTATTCCATCAATCACATGTGCTTCAAAGCTAGTTTTTTACACTATCATCAATAACATTTTGCTTTTCAAGCAGGAATAAGCTGGTTGGCCAAATAGTCCCTTGAGGGCCAAGCACTTGTTCATTTCCCTAAATCTTTCTGCATTCTATCTATTTGTTTTCTTTTTATTTATTATACAATTATAATTCTGACTTGCATATCTATTCTTTTTCTATTCTATCTGTTTTCTTTTTATTTATTATATGATTTTTTTTAAAACCATGCTACGTGTACTGCGTTAAGCTAACTGAGCCTTGTTATAGCACTTGCATATCATTGCTCTTTAGATTTTGATTGCTTCCATTATCCTTATTTGTAAGTCGCTTTGGATAAAAGTGTCTGCTAAATGTCTAAATGTAAATTAATGAACTCGTGGCGTGTCTGTGGAGTGTGCGTCATGGGAAACAATGTGCTCAGTAATTAAAGAGGCAGGGCAGGCTTTCTGGTATTTGGTTTGTGACATCCTTTACGGGAAACGCCGGCGTATGGCTGCTCACAGCACTTGGTCGAAACTTATAAATTGCAATCAGAGATCAGAGTGACCAATCAGAGACAAATGCTGACACATAGAGAAAACGACCAATCAGAGAGAACTACTGACACAATAGAAATAAATGTGACTTGACTTTAATATCCTTTCAGCTCAAACCAGTGTTTCATGCATTTATCCATCAGGTCCTGATCAGCCAGTTTAGGTTATGATTATGGTGTTTGATGTTATATTATCTGGCTAAAATACCATTGAGTCCATAATCCATAATAACGCTTCCTCCAGTGAAAAAGTGCATCTGCTGTTATCTCTCACATCAAAATCCAGCCACATATTAGTTTAGAGCTGTTTAAACGCTGCTTGATCTGTGCAGATTTCTCTCCTGATTCACACCAGAACACTTTTTCACTGGAGGAAGAGTTATTATGATTTTTTCTTCACTATTTTACCTTCATTGAATGCAGTGTTGCTGTAAGGTAGTAAGTAATGCTGAGTAATGCTATTCCATCAATCACATGTGCTTCAAAGCTAGTTTTTTACACTATCATCAATAACATTTTGCTTTTCAAGCAGGAATAAGCTGGTTGGCCAAATAGTCCCTTGAGGGCCAAGCACTTGTTCATTTCCCTAAATCTTTCTGCATTCTATCTATTTGTTTTCTTTTTATTTATTATACAATTATAATTCTGACTTGCATATCTATTCTTTTTCTATTCTATCTGTTTTCTTTTTATTTATTATATGATTTTTTTTAAAACCATGCTACGTGTACTGCGTTAAGCTAACTGAGCCTTGTTATAGCACTTGCATATCATTGCTCTTTAGATTTTGATTGCTTCCATTATCCTTATTTGTAAGTCGCTTTGGATAAAAGTGTCTGCTAAATGTCTAAATGTAAATTAATGAACTCGTGGCGTGTCTGTGGAGTGTGCGTCATGGGAAACAATGTGCTCAGTAATTAAAGAGGCAGGGCGGCCTTTCTGTTATTTGGTTTGTGACATCCTTTACGGGAAACGCCGGCGTATGGCTGCTCACAGCACTTGGTCGAAACTTATAAATTGCAATCAGAGATCAGAGTGACCAATCAGAGACAAATGCTGACACATAGAGAAAACGACCAATCAGAGAGAACTACTGACACAATAGAAATAAATGTGACTTGACTTTAATATCCTTTCAGCTCAAACCAGTGTTTCATGCATTTATCCATCAGGTCCTGATCAGCCAGTTTAGGTTATGATTATGGTGTTTGATGTTATATTATCTGGCTAAAATACCATTGAGTCCATAATCCATAATAACTCTTCCTCCAGTGAAAAAGTGCATCTGCTGTTGTCTCTCACATCAAAATCCAGCCACATATTAGTTTAGAGCTGTTTAAACGCTGCTTGATCTGTGCAGATTTCTCTCCTGATTCAGACCAGAACACTTTTTCACTGGAGGAAGAGTTCATTTCTACAAACCTGATGAAGAAACAAACTCATCCTGATCTGGGATCTCTGACACATTTTCAGCTCATTTTAATTGTTTTAAGCAGGCCTGATGTTGTGTGTGTGAACTCTAGATGATCACACACGTTCATCAAACACAATGTGAGTCTCGTGCTATCAGAGTTTGAGCAGCTCTGCAGAGTATAAATATATAATCATATCTCTGGAGGCACATGCCAGAATATATTTAGAGAAACACAACAGTCCATCATCAGCGTCTCAAATGACACACGGCTGCGTCTCAAAACACAGCGAGCTGCCAACATGTGAAGCATCAGAATGAAGGAACCTTCTGAGAACATGACCATCACGTCCAAACCTGCTGCCTATGTAGGTGGCGACTAACTAGGTTTGGGACACATCCAGAGAAAGACCTTTAACCTTTAAATGACAGGTTATATATAGAGACACGGCCAATCACTGCAGTTTAAAACAATGATATTTGATTTCATGAAGGGTTAGCAGAGTTAAACCTCTTTATTTCAGAATCTCAACAGCTTTAATGGGATTTATAAGACAAGCTAATCACAGTCCGCTTCATCCATCAACACACACACACACACACGTGTCTGTTTTCAATAATAAAATGTATTAATCTATATAATCAAGAAATGTCTTTTTGTTGAGACATTAGACATCATGGCAGAACAAACTAAACTTGTGTCTGTTTTCACCCTGAAGACACATGACCGTAAATTAGAGTCATTTATTCAGTAAGACTCTTTGATTTTAATTATATAAAATATTAAAACAACGAATAAATCTCCTGTCAAGTGCTGTTAGCTCGACTAGCTGTCAGCACAACTTCTCCACACAAACAGCTCAAATCACCAGATCAAAACATCAGCTTCATTAAAACTGCATTGGCTTTGCGGCATGAAATCAAAACATGACATTCAGACGCAAGGTAATTATTAATCTGTCCGGGATCGAGGGTCATTATTAGCCAGTGCAGCTAACCGCGCTAAAGCAGATCAGAACCCCTCAGCAGCGCAAACGAAGCGATTAAAACACGGACATATAACAGCACAGAACAGCTTCGAGCTGAAAGCGTGTAAATAAAGCCATTAGATATTAGCGTGAATGTTAATGTTAATAAGAACTAATGATGTTGAGCAGAATCTCCTCTTACCTTCTGAGTGCTAATGATAAAAATAATGAACCCGCGCTGGCGCCCTCTGGCGGACCAACACAGTCTTTACACAAAGCACACACACACACACACACTCACGCACACACACTCACACTCACACACGTACACACACAACACACTCGAAGACAAAACACACACACACACAAAGCACACCCTCATAATTCATTATATTTAGCACAACGTGACAGTAACATGTGACAATAATTACATACAAATAGCATGAACGGTTTAAATCAATGAATAACAAAAAAGCAAACTATTTTTCAATTTTTAACATTTTGGTTCATCTCTAAAACTTTTCAAGGCTGTGCTTGGAATAAGTGTTTTTTAAGCAATAATTGAGCACAGCACATAAATTGCAGACCAACAGATAGATTGCAAAGACAAGCGTAGAATCCAAGGGTTCGCACATAGCCAAACATAACACAATGCAATAAAAAAATTAATGAATTAGTTGGCGCTGACAGCTTGTGAGCAGCGCGTCCCGAGTTCGAACCCCAACTTCCTGTCAGCTCTGATCTGTCCTGTCATAATAAAGGTGAACATGCCCCAAATTAATCTTTAAATAAATTAAATAAATAAACAAACAAACAGAGATTAAAAAAGGTACAAAAATTACATAACTCCTCAAATTATAAATAATTATAAAGACTGTTCCACGCTCAAGATCGATGTACAGGCTAGCAATATTAAAAATACAAAAATACAAAATTATTAGAGACATAACAGCAATATGCGCAAAACAAACAATAAAACCGTATGTAAGTGCTGTTGTTGACGTTATTCAAAAATAAAAAATATGTTTTATATGTTTCTAAAATAATGTTCAACGCGTTTTGTTATGAACGTCCAGACAGCTGTTGTCATGGGAACTAATGGCGTATCTAAAGGATAAAGGTAAGAAGAATAGGGATGTGGGATATTGTTTGGGATATGAATTTAATAGTGATGGCACAGGATATAGGATTGTATATAGCACAGGACTAGATAAAAGAATATAATATAAAAGATGCTCTGTTTCGGTTTGGAGTCTAGAGAGCTAACCGATACCTGGACGCTTGATGGCTTCAGAATTCAGACAGAACAACTAATATAATCAAAGAAAATCCTGGTTGCATAATAGCACAGTAGGTGGCGATATGCGCAAAGATTGCAACTCGCCATAAAACCAAGAAGAAGAAGAAGAAGCTGTCGTCACGACACGTGCACCAGCACGCACGGCGTCCTCGCGCACGTCAGCGCGCCGGATGTTGATTAGTCTGGAGGAAGAGCAGGAAGAAAACAGCAGCGCGAGCTCCAGCTGAACGGAAATAAACAAACAGTCGATCGGAAGCGGCTGGTAAGAGTTGATCTCATACTAACCGGTTAACGGCGAGCTTTGCTTCGATTCGACCTTCATTCGTCATTCGTGTGTGTGTGGGAGTGTGAGTGTGTGTGTGTGTGTGTGGGAGGGTGAGTGTGTGTGTGAGTGTGTGGGGGGGTGGGTGTGTGTGTGTGTGTGTGGAGAGTGTGGGTGAGAGAAGCGGTGGGTGTGAGAGAGAG